TAGGCAGTATTAATCTGCAGATTAATTTGTAGAGACACTTGGTGTCTGTCTGGATATATAAATGTATCAATAAAGATCACACACCTTGCATATGTTTCACTATAAAAAAAAAAAAATTTTAAATAATAAAACAAATAAATTTTCAAGAAATATAGATATTTAATCAATTGTTATATTATAAACAAGAAAAAAAAATAGATACAGCAGAAATGAAAAAATAAATAAATAATAATAATATAATTAATTAAAGAGGTATTGACTTTACAATAATAATAAGAAATTATTAATTATATCTTTTAAATAAATAAAAAATAAATTATTTAAGATTAAACTCACATATAATAAACTTTTAACTATAGATAATTTGATAAATATAATATTCAAAAGTTATTTATAAATAATAAATGTTTTTTATCAAGAAAATAAAAAAATATTACATTATTTATTAATTTGTAAAAAACTTCAATAATAATTAAACTTGATTTTTGTATTTAAAAATCTGTTTTTGATTTAATAAAAACATAATTGCTGTTTTTTTTGCAACATACTGTATATACTGTACAGTATAAATAATAATAATAAAGCTTTTTTAATGCATTGTAAACACTATATAGTATAAATTAATAGTATACTAAAGTTTTGAGTATTTTATTGTTTCTAAAAAATATTTAATATTTTTTATTATAAAGTTCATATTTTTTGTATTATTGCATTTCTCAAAACTTTTCAGTTCAAGTAAAAGCGCTACATTTCAATCGTTTTGTTACAGTAATATAATTTATCGAATAAATATTAAATACTTAAAATACATTCGTTAATTTGAAGGCATCTATCAATGATTTAAAATGATTTCTTTGAATAAAATTTCTAAAGTTAATGACAATCAGGGAATTGAAAAAGTTTATTACTGGGAAACCCCGAAAGAAAATTGAGTTTCTATCCACACAGGAAGTTAAAGTTTATGATAACTGCATAGAAATATCGAGAACAAATAATTTTCAAAATGGTTCATAAGAATTATGCCAAATTCTTTTACAAGACTTACCACTTTATCAAATATTATCATGATGACCAAATTTAGTTCAAGATGTAAATATCTAAAAAAATTGGCGAACATCCGAATTTTATGAGAATTTGAATATATTATGTATATATATTAAAACAACAAAAATGATATCAAAGTAAAGACCCAACAAAATCGCAATAAACTAGATATCATTACAATTTAAATTAGCTACGAATCTTCAACTTCTTTTTTCTTCCTCGTGCTAATTAATATATAGAAAAAGCAAAAAAATTTAGCATAATTCAGTATGAAATTAAAAAAATTCAGAAAAGATGACTACCGTCGCCTTGTTTTTGGTGGATTTGATGTACCAGCGGGTGGTTCGTAATCATCATCATCATTATTTCTTTTTTTTTATGTAAAGAGAAAATTGGTTTTTGTTTACTTGATTACTATGAATTGGCGAATAATCAAAGAATGCATCAATATATTTACTTTCTTCGGCCTTTCCGTTTTTTAGGTTGTGGAGGTTGTTCGGCATCTGCTTCATCTGCACTTAAAATACTTCCTGCGGTATCATTGTTGGTTCCAGCATTAGCTGCTGCTGATGTTGAACCTTCCCCTTCGGTAGTTTCAACCGGATCTGGTATATTCGCAACTACATCTTTTAGGAAATCAAATTGTTCGGTAGTCATTATTGTTTTCTTCCTATCGGGATACATTAAATTATTAACTAATGTTGATATGTGTATACATAATCAAAAGAAGTCTTCGACACATACAAATGAGAAACCGACATCCTTTTTGCGCTTCTTGCCCTCGTCTCTACACAGGCATGGTCAATTAGAGATTGCATAAACAACTCGAGAGCTTTTGCTATAAATTAATTGGTCAATAAATAGAAGGTAATTACAATCTATAAGTGAATATTGACAAATCTCTACTATGTTTGAAAAGACTTACAAATTAACACTGGAGTAGCCTGTGCGACCTTGCCAACATCTTCGTCCATTTGCATGATCTTCTTGATACGAGCCTTTGTATGTATATAAAACGAAGGTTAAAGGTAAAATTGATATAGCATTATTTCAGTTCATAATCCTAATTTCGCTTCTAAGCAAGCCACACCATTAAAGCTTACCACTGGAAATTTTGTCTTATACTTTTTTCTCATCATAGGTTCTCGGAGTTATTTTATATTATATATTAATGTATTTGAAGAGTGATTGTTATATGTTTTAAAGAGGTGCAATGAATGTAAATTCTAAATGATTAGTATCGTTATATCGTTATGTTTCTTGGTTTAAAGGGTTTCATTTTGCAGAATTATATGAAGTGAAATCGATTGGTCCATCAAAATTTTCTTAGTACCTAATTTTATTTTAATTATCAATAAATTGAAAATTAGATTTCTCTCGACTTATTATAACAAATAACAAATATAAAATTTTATTTAAATTAAAAGGTTTTTATTTTTTTTACAAAACATAAATATTCGTATAAACTTACTTGATCCGTATTGACATGGATAAAAAAGTTATTTAATAAATAAAATTAATATTTTAAATATTTTAATAAGATCAAATTCTATAAATGTTTTTTATCAAAATTTTCCTGTTTATCTCATATTTCTTAAATTCTTTTAAGAAATATTTCTTCAATATAAAAAAATATTTTTAAAAATATAAACATAAGTTTAACAAATATGTATCTTAAATAAAAAATCAAAAATATTATTAGATTTTTTTTATAATATTTTTTATATAATAAAATAAAAATCAATAAATTTTAAAATATACAAAATATATATAATATGAATTATACAGTAATCAAGTTATTCTTTTTTAAAAATTCAAATTTAATTCAATTGTTTTAAAAAAGTTAAAACAAATAGTTTATTACAATTTAATTTTTTTAATTCTTAAAATAAAATTATATTAAAAATTTAATTTTAATGATTATTTTTTTAATAATTTTTTTTAACTTAAAAATTTTTAAAGTTTTATTTTTATTTTTTTTTACAAAATTTAGATTTTATTTTTAATTATTAGTTTATATAATAGATTTTAACTAAAAAATATTGGTTTTAATTTTGACAATAAATAATTTTTTATTTATTTATTTACATTAAAAATAAAATAAAATAAAATAAAAAATAAAATAAATAAATAGTTTTTTTTTTAATTCCACAATCAGGTTAGTGTCATTTATTTATTAAATCATAAAGAACTATTACACATACAAGAATATATGCAAAGTATAAATTTTTTTGATCCAACTTACTTATTAATAGTCAAAACCTCTAGATGCAATTTATATGAGTAATATATTGTTTCTCTAAAGGATAGGTTTAAGATTCTGAACTTCTGATAGGATCAAAACCTGCAGATTACCTTCACAGTCATGACTATAAATCCAAATTGTGTTACCCCTTTTGTAGAAACTATATAAGAAAAAAAAGAAATAAAAAAAGAAATTTTTTGACAAAAAAAAAAGAAAAAAAAGTTATTATCTATTCTAACTATCATTGAAAAGTTTATCTCAGTGAACTTAAAACCCAAGCTTCTCATGATTTCTCACTTTTTATCACCTGTAGCCAGTCAAGCTGTTTAATTTCCAATGGAATAGTCAATATTCAAGAATATTTAAAAGCACTTCCAGGAGAATATTTTTTGAAACTTTATGCTTGAAGACTTCCAACCAAAAAGAATGTTAGTTTTCTATTGTTGATTCCTCTCTCAAGTCATATTTTTTAGAATTATAGCTTTATTCAACCAGTAGATAGTTTCAAAATTCCTTTCTTCAACCATTTTCAGAATAGATATTGGTACTTTAACTTGTTATCAGATTGAAATAGGACCTAGATCTTGTTGCTATTTCTTGTTCTCAAGAAAAAATAGAAAAAAAAGAAAGAAAATAAAAGGATAGAAACAAAAGAGATCACTTCTCTTTTATTCACAACTTCAACTTCACCTAATACCCTTATACTACTTTTTCAATTAAAAACTATTCAACTCTTTCAGGAACCAATCACATTATTGGTTTGGTATTGTACAACTGAGAACATATAAGAAGTACATGTTTTGTTTACTTTTTCTATAATTGATATGATCAACCAATCTGTGTCCTTGACCAATCATCTTTTAGAAAATCTGGTGTAACCAAAAAATTCAAGATCAAATTGAGGTAGATAAAATTCTCCAGAAAAACCAGAAAAAAGGGAAGCATGCTTAAGAAAAAAGAAGTGGAAAGCCAAAGAGATGATAAAAAGACTGAAGACTTCTTTATTCTTGTTTTTCTAGATTTTTGAATCTTTTGGAGATCTTTGGAGAATATTTTTTCTTGTCAGTTTTCTTCCTATAAAGGTGTTCTTGCTATAAACCTTTTAAGTAGGTTTCTTGTATTTAGTTGCAAAAATAAACAAGAAAAGTGTTTTGAAAAAGAAAAATAAAACAAGTGGTAGCTTCTGCTTGCTCGGCTAGTTAAAACCAATATTGTTTTTAAGGAAAGTATATAGACTTTATTATCAAAAAGACAAAAAATAGTTTAAGAACATCTGTTTTTTGGATTGGCAAAAGAATCAGTGAAAAAGTTTTTTTTATAAAATAAATAAATAATTTTTTATTGTTTTTAAAAATTTTAATAATTAATTATTTAATTTATTTAATTATTAAAGATATAGGTTATTTTTTAAATCAAAATTAATAAAAAAACTTTTGAATTTATTTTTAAAAATTTTTTATAAAGTTTTTACTTATTAATAATATTATATTTTCTTGTTAAATTTCATATTTTTTTAAAAAATCTTATTATTAATTATAATTCTTTAATAATTTATTATTAGAAAATTTTTAAAAAAACAAAGTTTAAAGATCAATATAATAAGAAGTATTTTCAAATCTTCAAATACATATTTTTAATTTAATATTTACAAAAAATATAAATAAATATATATTATATATATTGTTACTATTTTGAAAGAGCAAATAAGAATTATATCAATTTAGACTTGTAGTAAACAAAGAATTTTTATAAAATAAATAAAAATAAAAACAGAATAAATAAAAATAAAAAAAAAATAATCAAAAAAATATTAAAGAAAATTAAAAGAAAATGAAATTTACAATCAAATATATTGAAACTTTTAGTTTCTTTTTTAGCAAATTTCAAAATTATTGATAAAAATAATTTTAATTCTTAAGAATTTAATTTATTTAATATATAATATGTTTTGTTTTAAACACTATTAAACAAATTAACATAAACAATTCAAAATTATTGTTTTAATCAATTTCACAATTCTGTTCTAATATTAAAATCAAAAGATAATAATATAAAAATTGAATTTCAATAGAAAAATAATAAAAAAATATGAAAGAAAAATATATAATAAATATAATATAATTTTATTAAAGAAAATTAAAAGAAAATACAAAAATTCAGAATTTTATAATTATGATAACTGTTTTTTTTCACAGCTAAGAGAAATCATAATCTTTTTATAATGTTTTGATCAATTGTAAATTCCTTCTATCTAATTATTTATATGTAATTTGTCTATTTACACAAAAGAATTGGCTAGAAAATTATTTGTTATACTTAAAATAATTATCAAAGAAAATTCTTATCCATAAGAAAAAAATATAAATTACTTAAAATAATATTTTTTTTAATAATAAAAATTGTTTTTTTTAGTCTTTCTGCAAATAGTTGCTTAGAATCTTAAAAAAGTTTTGAAACTTAGTTTTTAAGTTATGGTGTTCTAAATTTGTTATGCTATTTAAAACTATATAGATATTTTGAGAATTCTCTAAGAAAAGAAAAAAATATTATATAAAAAATATAACTAAAATAATAAATATTAATAAATATTGATAATATATAATAGAATTTGTCTAAAGTTAATAAAAATTTTTAAAAATTTTAGTAACAATATATTATATATACAGTGAACCCTCTCTAAATACATACCCCTCGGGATTATAGGAAAATTTTTGAAAAATGTACATTTATAGAGAGTGTGCATTTATGGAGGTAATTTTATTAAAAGTTCTATATATTTGGGACCATGCATTTAGAGAGAGAAAATATAGTAAGTGCATTTATAGAGGGTGCATTTAGAGAGGTCTCTTTATATATATATATTACCTCTAATCAAATTACAATTTTATATATTTATTAATCTTTGAAAACAATAATACATTAAATTTTAAGATTTTATACTAAAGCTAAATTATACATATTGCAAAATACCTATTAACAAGTTATTTGTAAATTTGTATAGGATTCTTGAATCTTTAATATTAAGATTACTATATTATCCATATGATTTAATTATTTACTAACTATTTTATTATAAAAGAATAGATTTATTAAACTATTATTGTATAATATTAACTATCTTGGATTTTTCAAATCTTAACTCTTTAAGTATAACTATAGTAAAATTGCTTTTTTTTCAAAATTATTTCTCAATTTTTAGAAAAATCACAGCTAGTTTTTATTCAAATTGTTACTTCAATATAAACCTATAATCCTAAAAAATAAAAAATAAAAAAAAATATTTGAAAAGTTTGTTTTGATAAATAAAAACTTTTTAAAATCAAATTCAATCCATCAGAATAAATCTTTTATTACTACTTGCAGCTAGGAAAATTATTTAATTTTATTTTTAATCAAAAGCATTTAAAGCACTTATAACAAGATTTATAATAAGAATTATTACTTAAAAATCTTATTATCTAATACTTAATATCTTCTTAAAATAATTAGTAACAAAAAGAACTTTTTATTGAGTTAAAATTAGCTTTTTTTTAATCTTAAAAAGAAAAGAAACTAGTTCAAAAAAGAAAAAAGAAAATATTAAATCACTTTTATACAAAAGAATATTATAATATTTTGTTTTTTTGGAGGGTTTTCCCTATAGGTAAACATCATTTCTTTATTTGATATTATATATAACAAGGTATACATTGTGAAAGAAATAACATCTTTTACATATATAAAGTAGCAAGTTAAATGCTAGCTTGCCTACACATACACATTTAGCTAATATTGAAAAAGAAATTCAAAACAATATTATATACTAGCTGTGCCTAAATAGTAGCTATATCTACCTACTCAGAAAATTTGATAAAGTCTTTTTGTATCTTTTAATTTTTTGAATATATGAAA